GCAAACAGAAGCTCCACACATGTAAACAATCTGCACTACGGGTAAACTGCTCTACACAGACGTGGCAGCACGTGTACTCACCGCAACAGGTCCACGAGTAATGCAGGCAAAACATTTCAGAGTTATCAAATGACATGGTGAGAAAATCTACAGCTACAGAACATCGAGCTCTGAAACAACGAAGCACCTCAACGACGCATCTACAGCTGCAGCAGTTTAAAGGTCAGGGCGAGTTTCTCTGCAGGCGTCAAAATGCTCTCGTGAATTCCAAGTTTGGTCTCTGCTCAGTGTGAGAAACACTTAAACTGTTCACACCAGGGGCCTCAAACTCGCGGCCCGGGCGCCACACGGGCACACGTCACCTACTCGTGGGAGGATTTGTTTGTTGTTACAATAAGTTCTTTAAAAAGCAAAAACTGATTTAATACGAGCAGAGAGCACAAACATGCTGAGGGATCGGCTGTGTTAGTTCAGTGAGAGGGTCAACAACTAATGTGACACTTATGCAGTTTGTGTTTGTTTGGTAGTTCAGTTAAGTGAGGCATTTTAAAAAACAAACACAACACGACATTTTTGGAAATATTTGTGGGTGTTTTCTTGTTTGTTTGTTGTTTTTTGCACTGCATGAACAGTGAAGTGGTCACATGGTGACGGTGCCAGTGGTGGCCCACAGCTCGTTTGAATTTGAGAGCCTGATATTTGTTCTTCTACACGTTCAGCTGAGACGACAGCAGCAGCAGAACGAGCAGAGCGAGAGCTCCTGCAGACTGATGCTTCACCGTCACAGCTCAAAACCCCGGGTCCTTTCATACTCACAATATTTAAAAATGTATGGGTGTGCTATTATTATTATTATTATTATTATTATTATTAACTCAAAAATTCTCTGAAAAAAAAAGATCCTGCGGAAAAACTGTGTGAACTTCAGGGAAAATTTTAATGATAAAAAAAAGAAGAAGAAATATTCTGAGATTTTACAAATTAGGGAAAAAAAAAAAAAATCTTTGAAATTTTTTAAAAAAGCTGACAAAAAAAATCTTCTAAAAATATTAAACAAATTTAAAAAAATTAAAATAAATAAATAAAACCGTCTGAGACTAAAGAAAACTAAAGATCATGAAGAAAATCTCTGAAATTCTTTTCAAATTTAAATTTAACCCCCAACTTATAAACATTTCTTTTTCTTGTATGTTTTTTAAACACGAGTTCGAGGCTTCACTTTGTATGTCGGGTAAACTCGTCAGCGCGCAGATGCCGCTCGGCGCTGTGACATCACGTCAGCACCAGGTGCTGATCCTCCTCGCGCCATGAAAGGACAGTCTGTGCGAGCTGATCCCTCCCTCTCCTCCTGGGGGGCCGCAGCCTTTCAGACGCTGCTTTTATACCGATGCTGTTATCACTTGTGCTTCTGGGGTTGATAAGTAAATTGCGCCTTAATGAAATTGTCACCGTGCGGATCTAAAGCCACCTCACCCCGTCTCACCTCAAGCTTCCATTCGCCTTACTGTTGCTAACGCCGCACTTTGCTGCTTTACTTCGGCCTGTCTTCGAGCCGCTTTAGCGACACAGTAGAAATGTGTCCACGCTGCTCCTCTCCACAGCAGCAGCCTCGCTCTCCGTCTCTGCCGAGTCCACCGGGTGAGTCAGCAGTGCAGAATCAGCCAACAGGAGGAGGCTGCATCAGACCTGCGAGAGTTTTCACTGGATCTGACTTTTGTACTAACAAAGTGCGTGAAAGACGGGGCCTGAGGACGTGGATCTCGGGGTCCACGGCGAGTGTGGAGACCTGCTTACACTGACAGCTCAACTCGGAGACTTCAAGGAAAGAAGAAAGAAGCCGTCAAACACTGACAGCGGTGTCCAATCAAAAACTGGGGTTTGCATTGATTACACTGAACTTTTCTGATTGCTGATTGCAAGTAATTTTGGTGTTTGGAGGCAGCAACAGAGTTCTTGTGGACGAGCCTTTTCAGTTATTGACTGATGGCAGACTTCGTCTTACTGTCGTCTTCATGCACCGAGTGCTCGCAGACCTGGTCCCCATGGTCGGAGTCGCCATTTCAAAGGCAACGAGACCAATAAGATTAAAGAAGACAGATGATGGGAAACGTGGGACGATCATAGAAGACGAACTTTTGAGAATCGGACCGATTCAGAGGAAGAACTTCATCGTTGCGCCTCCTCGTCTGCAGCGTGACGAGTTTCCATTCACCCAACTTTGCAAAGTGAAGCCTTTGGTTTAATGCATCAGCTGATCTAAATGCAGCTACAACAGGTGACAGCACATCTCTACACGCCTGCACAGGGTTGCCTTGGTTACCTCTGGACGTCTGCTTGCACCTGTGGAGGATTTTTCCTACCGTGTAAAGAACTGAAGGGACATGAAAGCATGACAGAGGGAAGAAAACAAAAGCTTGTTAGACAATCATCAGTTTTCTCCTCCCGCTCGTTTTATCTACACGAGGTCAAAGGAAGAGCACGAACTATTCCCGAGCCTTTTTTGGACGTGGGCAGACTTCAAGGTCGAAGTCAAGCAACATTTTGAAGAAGTGCTTTTAAAGGAAGTTGTGCGTGAACTCCTGCGGAGGTTCATGTTGTTCTGAGCTGAAACAAACCTTTAAATGACGGAGACGCCGACGGCCTTCGGACTAATAAAGCTGATCGCACACAGAGTTGGTTAAACTTTATTTTCTCTTCACTGAACAACTCCTTAAGCTCTTAATCCGACAAAGCTTCAAACAGCTCTGAGAGCGCGGTGAGTATGAAAAGCAGGGAAATAAAAAAACACGGCACACAGCGTACCAGCAGACAGCGGGCGCGTTAAATCCTTTAATCTGACTTTTTACAACCTTTTCAACTCTTGACTTTCCTTCTAAAGCGGTTACTTGTATCACTTTTATCATATTTCCTCTTTAAGAGATAACGGCATAATGTGACCATCGTCTAATTCGGTGGATTTTTACAGCTACGCTTTTCCATCAAAGGGAAATATTTTAGATGATCCGAGAATCAGTTCAGGCACATTTTCTCAGAAAGCGTCTGTGATATCTGAGAAACCATGTAACAGGACAAAAGGCTGCTCAACAGGTATGAGATTAAAAAGGTATGAATCAACCAATGAGGTAAAAAAGATGAGTTATCAGTTCAGCAGTTTTCTTAGATAAGAAGAAATCTAAACATGATGTTCCCGTCCTAACGGAGGCTGGGCTGTCGTACCTGTGACCTGAGGAACGTAGGGGATGGAGAGGCGCTCGGCGTTGTAGCCCGGCCCGGCCAAACACTCGGCCATGTCGGCCGTCTGGAAGTACAGCTGGCTGTCCTCTTTGTCCAAAGATTCAGGAAGCCTGGAAGAAAAGACGCAAAAATAAACTTCCTGAGGAAAAACCTCAGAAAAGCACGGCTTTACTTCTCAGAGCGACGCTGCAAAAAAGGGTCACATTTGTTCTCATCTGTAATTCAACTCTGTACCAAGGTTATTATCGTTAACGAAAACTAACGAAAACTAACGAAATAACGAAAACTAGAAGTGAAAAAACATTTTCGTTAACGGAAATAAAAATAAAAACAAAAAAAGGAAAACTAACTAAAACTATAATGAGTGTTCACAAAACTAACTAAAATTAACTGAATTTATAGCAAAAATGTGTTTAGTTT